TTTGGAAGTGCCATGGTGGGATGATGGTAGAAGAGTGCTCTCTGAACTAGCACACAGAGAGTTCAAGAAGGAGTTGACTGCAGCAGGTCTGGCAGCCAATTCATACGTGGGGCTGTGCTGCCGATGGCATGGCTGTCTGCCAGCCTGCAGCAAGGTTGAGCGTATAAAAGGGAAATCCAATTAGCTCACCAAAAATGGACTGTGCAAAAGGAAGGGGCAGCTGGCAGCAGCTTCTCTTCTTTGATTTGCACGAGAAATGTCTTGCTCCAGCACGTGGTCCTTGCACTGGGTGAGGGTGTGAAAGGAGTGTTCTTCCCCCCGCAGGGAGGGGAGGCATTTTCCCTCCCCCGAGCATTTCCCAGCTCTTCGATCATAATGCAAGTCAGTTCTCCAGGTGAGGATCCCAGCCTTTCTCTCTCCAAATCAGCTTGGGACCAATTAAGATGACCCCAATAGAAAAAAGAGGAGCCAGCAAGCAGACTATTGCTCTTCTCCCAAAGGGTAGGTGGTTGACATGGTTTCCTTTCAGACAAAGGGCATGGCCCCAAAGAGGAGTATAGTACCCAGGATTAAAAAAAGAAAAGAAAAGAGGGCTTTTGTGACCAAGCTCTAAAAAAAGGAGCTGTATTTTATTTATATCATAAATCTGTTTTGTTTTATGGTCTGACCATAAACCTTAAAATGACATTTTAAATCTGGACTCCGTAACATGGGTCTGTTTTAGTTGATTGAAGCGGACCTGACCTGCAAACCCCTAAAGTAGTGTGGCCATTCACACTTGTCCTCTTTAAAGTTTGGAGGGGTCACAGGGTGAGGAGCTTGAATGGTTAATTTCTCAATTTTGCTGGAGGTAAGAAATCACTGAACCTTTAAAATGCAGCATTCCATTTTGTTAGACTCCCGGCCTCTTCAGACAGTGGTAGGCAAAATGGTTTTTCCTAAGCACCCAAAATATATTACAGATGGTGGGTTGTCCATCTTTAGATTGAGGGAGGGGAATAGGCAAGTATTTCTGTGATGGGAACATTCCCAGCGTCTGTCAAGGCAGATGTGCTCTTGCCTGGATATTGCGGCTGTACAGCCGGCGGGGGGCGGGGGGGTGTGTGTGGAGGGATGGGACCTGCCCCCAGGCCAGCCCAGGGCTCGCATGGGGGATTGGACCAGCCCATCCCCTGTGGTCTGTCATTTGGGTCTCTTTGCCCCATGGCTCCTCAGCACACCCCTCTCTGCCTGCTGCCTCACTTCTCTGTGCTCTGCATCCCACCTATCAGTTTTGGTAACCCCCATCTTCCCCAATTGTGTGTCAACCCCAAAGAGAGCCCTTCAGCTTTTGAGCTTTAAGAAGAAGACACAGGAGCCCATCCCTCCTGGAACCACCAGCACCTTGCTAGTTTGGGGGAAACCAACCCTTTATCTCCTCTTTTTGGCCTTTTATTGCTTCTATGTCAAGCTTTCCTTGATAGATCTAAACTCTCCAAGTCAGAATGAGTGATCGTCTTATGGTGTTTTCGATCTCTCTTTTTAGCTCTACAGTAAAAAGCTGATAGTGACCTCGTTCATTCAGAGTGCCCAGGCTCAGAAAACAAAGAATTCTTAGTATGGGAGTGCGGGAAATACCTCTCATTTACTTCTGCATGAATTAATATATTAATAAAATTTTCTGCCATATTGATATCACCATTTCTTTATTGTGTGGATCAAAATGAACATCTTTGACTCCTTTCCCCTTCCTTCCAATACATGAGAAACAGCTACAATCTTTCTTCTACTTTTCCAGTGTGGCTCTTACACATTTCTTGTGAGATAGTGAAGACTTTCTTTGATCCAGCCTGCTCTCTGCTCTCGTTCCCTTTCGTTGTGCTCCCTACTTGTGGCCCTTCTCCATTTTGGCGTATCATATAATAATGGTCTCAGCTCTTATGTGCCAGGAACTGGGCTAAGCTCTTCGCACAAATGACCTGAGTGTGTCTTTGCTAGTGCCCCAAGGGTGAAGGATTGGTTTTGTGCAGACAATCTTTTGATTTTCCTTTAGTTTTCTGGAATTTGCTGTGGTGTCAGTTTGCCTACTGCATAAAGTCCAAATACCTTTAACACCCCCCTCAGCTCACATCAACTACCTAGATTTATCTAATAGTTACTACCTCTAAGACAGAGCCACTGAATGACAGAGACTTCTCTGACTTCCCTATATTTCCTTTGGATTACCCATGGTTTTGTTTTTTATTTGTTTGTTTTATTTTATTTTTCATGCTTATCTTCTGCTACTTTTTTCTCTTGAGTGGTCTTTTTTCACCTTCCATTCCATCCTCCCCTGGGTCAGTCCTACCCATCCATTGGTAGACACTGCTGGTTTCTCACCAGATACTTCTTTCACCAAATATTGATTTTCTCTTCTTTCTTACCAATAGACCCCCAACTGTGTTTGTGTAGAAATGAGCCTCGTTAAAAATATTTCCATCCTCAGAGTCTCTTGCCTTCTGGGTTGGTCTTGTCATCCAGTTCAGGCTGATACAGCAGGAGCAAAAGCTTATGAGGGGCACCTGTGAAGCTTTTGCTTTCTCAATGTAATAAGCACTGCTCCTTTGGCCTAATTGTTCCCTTCTTTCTGCCTGGAATGTGGCTGCCATGCCCAGAGGTGAAGCAGCTATCTTGCAATCAGGAGGAAGAGAGATATATATTAAAGATGGTGGAAAAGAAAATACAAAGAGCCTGTGGTTTTGGGTGACTTCCTTGAATAGCTGCACCTGTTATGGACTGCATATATCCAGACTTTTTATTTCATAGAAGAAAAATTGAATTCTCTATGTGGTTAAGTCATTGAAATCTGGTTTTTACATTCAGACAGATACAATCCCGACACACCATCCTTCGAGGCTAAATTCAAATGCTACATAAATTATGAAAGCAACCACCATAGTCTAAATATATCATGGAATAGTGAAGTAACCTCCTAATTTCTCCTGCTTCCACTCTTTCCAACAATATTCCTGCTATATATTATCTACTCTGCAGCCAGAGTGAGACTCTAAAAACATATACAAGGTCTTGTCATTCTCCAGTCAGCAATCCAATCACCCGATAACTTCCCATAATCATGCTTAAAATAAAACCCAGTGTCCTTCTAAGTATGACAGTGCCCTCTACAATTGGAGCCTTGCTATGTCATCCCCTATCACTCTCCCTCTCCCCCTCTCCCTTGGCATCCTTACAGTTCTGTGAATAATCTGAGTGTGTTCTAACACCAGATTCCTTGCAATTGTTCCTCTTTCCATCACTCCCCTAATTCCTTCAGGTCCCTAGTTGAATATCAATCCTTAGACAGACTTCCTTGATGAGTCCCTATAAATACCACACTGACCTACACCCTTCCTGCCTATACCATATTATTTTTTTCATAAGACATATCACTATTTATATATTGTTTTTATTCACATATTTATTATTTGTCTTTCTTTTTTTAAAGATTTATTTATGAGAGAGAGAGAGTGGGGGAAGGGACAGAGGGAAAGAATCTCAAGCAGACTCCCAGCCAAGCGCTGAGCCTGATGTGGGGTTCAATCTCACGACCCTGAGATCATGACCCAAGCCAAAATCTTAACCGACTGAGCCACCCAGGTGCCCCTATTATCTGTCTTTCTTATTAGAATGTAAGCTCCATAAATCAGCGACTTTGCTTTATCCACCACAATACTCCAGCACTTACAATAGTGTCTAACACATAATAAGTGGTCAATAAATAATTATGGAATGAATTTTGGAAGGAAGGAAGTCGGTCACACATCTTGGTTGGGGACTTGAAATAGTTGTAAGTTCCTTAAGTAAGAGAAAATGAAGGACTGATTTAGGAGCTGCAGTTTCTCTGAGGATGTTTTCCCAAGAATAAGTGACAATTACTTGAGATAACATCTCCCTGGATTCCTCCCTACATCAGAAGATGGTAAAAACACCTTGCTCTTGCAGTTGCTAGAGGGAGTGGTGTTAATGTTGCCGCAGCAACGATACATCTTATGTAAAATCTCCAACTTGCTACAGATGTGGTAGCCGGTTTAAAAGTTTTCTTGGGGATTCAAAAATATATACTGTCTTCTAATTTTGCTTAACCAGTTGCTTATGGCTAATAACAAACTATACACATAGTGCTAAAACTGTTTTTGAACTTTGTCCCCTTGGGGGAAGACCAAAAGTACTTTGCCAGAAAAGTGTTCCAAATGTGAATGACTGTCATAAGCTCTAGCGCCGTTGATCTAAGATTGTGAAGATGAGATTTGTAACACACTAAATAGAAAATAACTTTGTGTCTGTTGATGTGGTACTCTCTTGCTCTGGCTTCCTGTTGTTCCCCTCCCACCCAACAACACACACACACACTCCACAGGATGTCTTCCGGTTCTTCCAACACACCATATTGCTTCCCTCTTTGGGGTCTTTAGCATTGTTTCCTCTGCCCAGATACACCCAGATATTTTCACAAATAACTCCTTCCTTTCCTTCACATCTCTGTTCATATAGTACTTACTCAGGAGGCCTTCCTTGACCATCCACCCTAAAATGCCCCAAAATAGCAACTCTTTCCTGCCCACATCCCTTTCCTTTCCATCTTATGATCCCCTTCATTTTTTTTTATAACACTGTTTGCTACCTGTCACTCTTCATATATATATTTATTTGCTTACTTATTTCTCCTTGATGAGAATATAAACTCCATGAGAGTAGGGACACCTTTTTGTTGACTGTTTATAAGTAACCTTCTATTATATAGATATGTAACCATTTATTTATCCTTTCAACTGTTGATGGATATTGGGATTTTACTCAGTTTGGGGTTGTGTTATAAAGCTTTTACATTTGTGTACAGACCTTTGTGTAGATGGATGTTTTTTTTCTTTTTGGATAAATAACCAAGAATGGCATTACTCTACCATTTAGTAAGAGTATTTAAATTTATAGGAAACTACCAAACTGTTTTCTAAAATTATTCTAACATTTTACATCCCCACTAGCAATATATGAGTTCAAGTTGCTCCACATCCTTGCCAACCCTTGGAATTCCAATCTTCTTGATTCTAACCATTCGAATGGGTATGTAGCATATTTTATTGCAGTTTTGATTTGCATTTCCTTGATGACTAATGACTTAGAGCATCTATCTCTTCAGGTGCTTATTGACTATTTGTATACATTCTTTCATGAAATGTTTATTTGTATGTTTTGCCCATTTTTATTGAGTTGTTTGTCTCCTTACTCTTAATGTTTATTAAGACTCAATGTAAGAGCAATTACATGAAGAACACTGTTGTTGAAATTATATTCCTTATATTCTTCAAACATAGTTTCTTGTCTAAGGACTATTTACCTCTTCGCTATAACTATTATGAGCTTTTCATTATGAAATGGGAATTATATTCTCATGATATATCCAATGTTGCCTTGGACAGAGGAATTTCAGTGCTGAATTTAATGCTCAATGAGGGAAATTATGCTATTCTAGATTTTTGGTATGTGTGTTCATTCTCCTACATGTTTTTCTGGTTTTCTGTTAAGTGTCTTTGGTTTTACTGTGCACCAGCTTGTAATTAAGCAGTTTCAAATTTCTTTTGAAAGTAAATGGCATATATCTCAGTTTCTTCATATTCAAATATGAATAATGCTGTTTCTGACCCAACACAAGGGTATGCTAGAGATTTCATTAGTGGCCTGACGTTGTTAGAATGTTTTTGGTCTTCTTGGAATAGTTCAAGGTGACCTTTATACAAAACATGGGCACTAAAGTCATTATTTTCCTGTGTTTCTCTAAATAATTACTTTTTACCTTGAATAAACAATCGTTTATACTTAAAGGAGCATTTCTCAATATAATATATAGTTTTATGCCTTTATAAAAGTATGACATTGTTTCCTAAAACACCATATAAAAGAGTATTTGAATTAATATCTCTCTTTATAGATAAGATTTTGATGTCTTAAACATTGTTATGTTTCTCATAACCCTAAAAGAACTCCCTGTGCCTAGTAAGGTATTTAGTACACATTTCTTAAAGAAGTGTTAGGTGAAGGAGTAGCAGTCGTTACTGACTTTTGGACACCAGACGTTCATTTGTGCAGACACTTACCCACCCAGTCTGGGGCAGACCTATGTGAACTGCCTTCAGGGAGCTGAAGAGAGACAGACAGCTGGAAGGTACAACCATAATGTTCTCCAAATGCAGCTTTATTTCAAGAACTAGCATGTCCACATAGTGATCAGACGGATAAAACAAATAAGAGAGAGAAAATGCAAGGAACTGCCACTGCTCAGGAGCAGAGCTGGACAGGAGGAAGAGGTGATGGGGAGGAACAGAGGCCCCAAGTCTGCGGCTGTATTGTGCCCTGGCGTTGGATACCAAGGGTTAATCTGCCATAATAAAATCAGCATGAATACTGCCAAAACAGCCTGAGCAGACCCTCAAGTAAGTAATTAATTCTGGCTGCTTCCCACTCTCTAGCTTTCATCATTCTTAATGTTACCTAATTGTAAAATTATTCTTCAAACCTTCCTAGTATAAAGGAAGAAAATGCCCAGATCTAGCCTGCTTTTCTTGAGGGCATGGGTGCCTCCTGCCTCTTGGTGGAAGGACCCAAGATGCTGCTAATTAAGGGTGGATGAACACTTGAGAACTTTTGATCAACTTTCGTAAAACAGCCTACAAAAGAGTTCTGGGAAAGCTGTGTGCTTTTCTGTGTGTGTCCACAGAGCTACAAAGCCCAGGGAGGCACGGGGCTGAATCCACAGCTTCTCTGGCCTTCGGACCCTCACAGTGACCTTGACGGACCCTGAGATGGGGATGAACGTAAAGGACAAACATGTGAGGAGCAGAGAGAGATTCCTGGCCTGGCCTATAGTTTCTGCTTGCCATTGGAGGTGAGAATAAGGAAAATCTTGCGGACTGTTCCACCTCAAAATATGCCAAGGCTTTCAATGTCAGGGGTTTTAAATTCATGTCAGTACAGCCAGATAAATAAAATCTTCACTTTTAAGGGGATCTCTTTATCCCTCGCATCTTCTTCCTTGAAACATGATGACTTTCCTGCAGACAAAGGCATTTCTCTTTCCATGACTGTGGCAGGAGGGACCAAACTGTCTTTTCCACTGTGATTACCTGCCTAGGCTGTAGGCCTTGAGGTCTCGAGGTAGCCTTGGCAACATAAGTGCAATACACTATTAAAATAATGACTATTTTCTTCAGTCTAGTTAAAAAATAGAAGGGACAGCCTTGGATGGCATTCTGGTCAGGGGGGGAATATCTCATGTGTCTCTGGGGTGAGATATAAAACTGAGGGCTTGACCTCTTTTGGCCATTAAAGACCTTCGGGTCCTCTCCTGTCTCTTTGTTCCTACAAGAGTAGAGGTGGTGTTAATTCTGTGCCTGGCTAAATTCTAACTGGGGTAATTATACTGTCACCCTATATTCCCCTAGAGATTCAGTTAGAAAAGTTACTCTTTGATCATGCTCTTAAATCCTACTGTGCTGGGCTTTGTAACATGGCAGGTGAAGAATGGCTGTTGGATTCTACATGCTTCCCTCTGCTGGGTGAGTGATGCTAATTCTATGTATGTATTCTGCTGAGAGCTTGGGGATCCTTCTGGGGGAAGCTGCTGCAGTAAGTATGCGCTATTGTTAGTTGAGTCTCAAAAAAAGAAATTGTTGTTCTAGGCTATGTTTCTTTGATAAATAGTAGTTAAACTTCCCAACAAATAATTATGAAAAGAATGGGGAAGATTGCTAGAAGTTTAGGGTTTTAGTTTGTGTGTATATATGTATATATGTGTGTATGTATATATGTGTATGTATATATAACATTATAATACAATATGTATAAATACAATGTGTATATGTAATGTATACATGTAATATACGTAATGTATATGTATACATATAGTATGTATATAAATATATACATGTGTGTCTATATATATATACATATATATATGTATATTCATATATTGACAGAACTGAAAGTAAGTTCTTTTACACATGCAACCCTTTTCATCATAAAGGTCTGATGACCTACTGGGTCACAGTTGTTTGTAACTGATGAACAGTATCCTATGCTGACATGGACAGTGAAATCTGGGATTTGGAGGTGGTACCTAAGCTGGACAGCTTTCAGGTGGTTTTGATTTAGAGCCAAAAATTATGGCTGGAGATACATTAGAATTTTGGTGAGGGATTCATGGAGACACTGATTATAAACTACAATGAAACTTCCCAAATGCTAAATGATTAAACTATGAAAAGGAACCACCTAAGTATATAGAGTTTACAGAGCTTAAGGCTTGGTGAGAACTGAGGGCTTAGGTAAACTGTCTGGCTGAATGAGGATCCCACTTGTAACTCCAGTGTAATTTTGCACATAAAGCAACAGACACACTCACATGTATAATTCTAGGGGCAAACCTGAACATGACATGAGAGCTCATATTTTTCAGTCTCTTTCTGTGTCTCCTTTTCTTTTATTTTTTTTTTGGTAACTAAATTCAAAGAAATAAATTAGCAGTTTCTATAATCCTCCACGGTATATCAATAAAGGTTTGTTTTCGGGCGCCTGGGTGGCTCAGTTGGTTAAGCGACTGCCTTCGGCTCAGGTCATGATCCTGGAGTCCCGAGATCGAGTCCCATATCAGGCTCCCTGCTCAGCAGGGAGTCTGCTTCTCCCTCTGACCCTCCTCCCTCTCATGCTCTCTCTCTCTCATTGTCTCTCTCACAAAATAAAAAATAAATAAATAAATAAATAAATAAATAAATAAATAAATAAATAAATAAATAAAGGTTTGTTTTCTAAGTCAGAATATACAGCAAAAAAGGATAAAGCAGACCCCCATTTGTGATCATGGAAAAATGGTAAGAGACCCCTTTACAAAATTATATTTTTATATATAAATACATACCTGTGAAGGTATAAATTTCCAAGTTTGAGTGGTAAGAAAAATAAGACTGGATGGTTATACCAAACTTTAATGGTATTATCTTCCAGTGGTTAGGTCGTGGTTTTTTTAATATCTTTTTTTAAAAAGATTTTATTTATTTATTTTATAGAGACAATGAGAGAGCACAAGCAGGGGGAATAGGAGAGGGAGAGGGAGAAGCAGGCTCCCGGCCAAGCAGGGAGCCCATGCGGGGCTCGATCCCAGGACCCTGGGATCATGACCTGAGCCGAAGGCAGGCTCAGGCTTAACCATCTGAGCCACCCAGGCGCCCAGGTCGTGGTTTTTTAAAGATTTATCTATTTATTTGAGGGAGAGAGTGTGTGTGTGTGTGTGTGCAAGCAGTAGGAGGGGCAGAGGGAGACATAATTCCAAGCAGACCCTGTGCTGAGCGCAGAGCCTGACGTGGGGCTTTATCTCATGACCCTGAGATCAGGACCTGAGCCAAAACCAAGAATCAGATGCTTAACTGCGCCACCAGGTGCCCCGGTTTGACCATTTTTATCTTTTTCCGTTTTGCTGAACATCATAAGTTATATTTTATAACTATCAAGTGCTATGTAAAGTGAATTAAAAACAAGACCAAGAGAGAAAATGTAATCCCAACACATGACACACTAGTACATTTTAGGAAAGTAGAATTCATCGTATTGAACCGTATCAATTACTGGTCATAAAAATTGGTAGAGGATGGGTTTATTCTGAATATAGTGTTTTGTTGAATAGGAAAAAAAGAAAACACTGAAGAATTGCTCTGAATTGCTCAAATTGTCAAATGAACTTGAATTTGGAGGCTCCGAACAGAAATTTCAACAAAACCCTTCAACCTGACTTACGCTTCGGTGATCAGGTGACCAATGTCTTCTGCACAGACCTGAGTTGTGCTAAAGCTGCAGGAATCCAACCTCCTTGGGGTCTGGGAGCCTGAGAAGGGACAAGGAGGGTTGGGACAGAGACCTCAGGGGCCTTGTGGAGTTGAGACATTGGGGATCCTGCAGCTCCCCTGTGCTGCTGGTAGTAAATAATAAACAAAGTATCAAAGAAATGATAAAACGATAATCGGATATATTACTCTACAGAATCTTATCTAAACTTCTACTATGAGAAGTCCCTTTTCAAATGTCACCTTAATCTTTGTCTGAAAATAGGTAAAAGAGCTGGATGTTAGCAAGTGCTTCTCATATCAAACAGTGTCCCAGGAGCTTTACTTGTATGAACTCGTTTAAAACTCAGAATGAGCCTAGCAGGTGGATTATGTTATTATGCCCTGAATAATAAACACTGGAACACAGGGGAGGTAACTGCTTTGCCCAAACTTAGACTCTTGAGATAAGTGCTGGAGTCAACATTTGACATTACCTTTTCACTCCAGAGCCGTGTACTGCACTGTTATTCTAGAAATTGTGGAGAATGAGAATGGTCTTTGAGATTTTTTCTAAGATTCTGTATCTTCATGTGTGAAACAAGTACGATAATGCCGACTTCAGAACTTTGAAAACTGCATCAGAAGGCTTCCCTACGCATCTGAAACAGGATTAGTTCTTTGTTGCTCTTAGGTGGGTAGGCCCTTGGGCACTAGGCAGGCCACAGTTATTAGCTGTAGAACACTGTATCCAATCTTCCTTCTTTTTGCAAAAATCAGTATGGACCTAAGTAATGGTATGGGTTTCTTTTTTTTATTATTATTATTTATTTATTTGACAGAGAGAGACACAGCGAGAGAGGGAACACAAGCAGGGGGAGTGGGAGAGGGAGAAGCAGGCTCCCCGCGGAGCAGGGAGCCCGATGCGGGACTCGATCCCAGGATCCCGGGACCATGACCTGAGCCGAAGGCAGTCGCTCAACCAACTGAGCCACCCAGGCGCCCTGGTATGGGTTTCTAATCTGTTTTCTCCACCTTTTCTAGCCATGGTGACTCTATCAATTCAATGACCATGTTTCTCAAACAAACAAAAAAAACCTAAACACATGATCTGATCAACTATTTTTTCAAGGTTCTGAATTTATATATATATATATATATTAAATTATTTATGGAATGATATAGAAGGGTATAACATTAATTATTTTTTTGTACCCAGAATGAATCACATTTATTGAAAATAATAATATTGCATGGAATTTAAAATTGTCCTGGGAAAATCTCAACCACATGATCACCAGACTTTGAGCAGATAGTATTCACGTGCAGTCAGATTGGGAGGACATACTTACAGGGGCATCAGACTTCCTCTTCAAGAGTACATGTGTTGGGAAATTGCATGATCAGGGATCACAGAAAAAGTCAAAGCTACATTAGGGTCTCGGCTTCCGTACATCCATCACTCCAGTCCACTATTTCCACCATCCCGGAGTTCTCAACTGTTAACCCCAGAGGATATCATTGGCCTCCCGATTACCAATCACAATGACAAATTTACATCTTTATTTTACTTGACCTCAAATATGAAAAAATTGTTCTTATTCTTTTTTGATTTTTATCCTGCATTCCCCAGTAAGACTATTTTCTCTTTGGCCTTTGTTTCTAACCATTCACCTTCATCTCTTTGTATGGTGACTTCTCTTTTTCATGATCTAATATATTTCCCTGGCTTTAGTTGTCATTCCCAAAACATTATCCATGTTTTTTAAATGCCCCCAGACTAATATGTACAACTCTCTACTAGATGTCTACAGCTAAGATACTTGTTCTCAATTTTCTCTCCCTCTCCCTAACCCCTCACGTCAAATACATCACCAGGTTTTCTTTATTCTACTCTGGCAAGGGTCTTGCCTTAATTTATTCTTTATGATTGAATATGGTTCCTCTTTATCTTTTGTCTGGAATAAAATAACAGCTTTTAAATGATACTCTTTTTCACCCTCCTACACCATTCTCCATACTGTGGAAAGGTGTCTTCCTCATATTTGGAGTAGACTGCCATGTTGATGGCTCCCAAAAAGGATGTCTCCAGTATTCCTGCCTTCGAGTGGTCACGACCTACCCTGACTCGGGGGTTGGCCATGTGGCTTGCTTTGACCGATCATATATCAACAATTGGAGACTTGGTAAGTGCTGGCATTTCCCAGATTGTCCTCTAGAAGTTTCTCCTCTTGAATCCAGTCACCATGCAGTGAGGAGGATGGTCTAGAATTGGCCCTTGGCAGAAGAAGGGCCACATCATAGGGGAGGAAGTTCTGCAACCAGCAGTCAGCACCAGGACCCTAGACATGAGCAATGAGTCTAGGATTTCAGGCCCAGCTGAGCTCCCAGCCGAATGCAGTTACCTGGGGGACGCCCGCTGACCCCACATGGAGAACTGGCCCCACAGCCCCCCAGAATCATTACAAATTATAAACTGCTGTTATAGTAGCCGTGAAATTGTGAAGAGCTTTGTTATGCAGTAATTGAAAACTAAAATATCACATGTAAACTTAGAATCCTTTGTTGGTTTCTAATTTCCTCCGGGTGAAGTTAAAATTCCTTTCCACATGTTGCCAGCCTTTCACATCAGGACACAGGCCAACTTTGGCGTTCCACCTCTGCTCTTGCCTCTCTTATAGCGCTGGCTCCACCGACCACATGTGGCTCCTTGTGGTGCTGATGGGCTGTGTCCTCCACATGAAGAGCCTTTTGCCTCTCTCCTGTGGTCAACCACTCACCTTTCCAAACATTATTCCAACATCACCTCCTTTGTGACTTTTTCCATGAAGCTAGTCACTGACTCCTCTATGTTCTTATAGCACTTAGAACATGCATTTTCTTGATTGCCCTCGACATATTTTAAATATTTGTTTTAATTATGCATTTCTTTATTGATTTGCTTCTCCTATTGAACATCTCTGGCCTCAGTTTTGCTCTCACGCTTTGGCTGCTGTGATTCTATTGAATGCTGTTCTCTCTGACTGCTCTTCCTTCCCCCACCCTTTGTCCACACCTCCGTCCTTCACTCTCAACTGTTAGGTTCCCCCTTAGACGTCCCTGCCTCGGGTCAGCCACTCCAAGCCCTGCAAGACGGTAGTAGATGCTCTTTCAATGAGCTTGGTTCATAGTGACTCTACTTACCCAAAGCTAGTTCTTATCTCACCTTCTCCAAAATGCCTCTGTACCTCCCGGGAGAACCAAAACTCTTAGAAACAGAGAGTGGGTCTTCCCTACCCTTGGGTTTAGAAGAAAATCCACCACAAAATGTGCCTCAATAGATATTTGTTCTAACAAAGAAAGAAATGAAGGAACGAATAAATGCTTGTTCTTTATACATACCAGGCACGCATCCTGGACTTTTAAGGACAGTTACATGTTCAAATGTTCTACGCCAGAGTCTCTGCACGTGCAATTTCACTTGCCAAATTTGGGATTGAAAAAATAAGATCTATATACCTATAAGAATAAAGGATAGTGGCGATACTGCCTTTCTTTCTTTGGACTATTTACTTAATGTAGCCTAAACTTGCATTAACTTTTATTAGCAGCCATATCATACTGTTAGCTTATAACGAAATTGTGGTCAAATAAAATCTCCAGGTCTCTTTCACATGAACAATTGTCAAAATGTATAAACAAACTGGTTGAATTAATAGCTGGGAACAGCTAATAGGGAAACCCTATTGCTTAAAATGCAATTCTTTCCAGGCCAAATGTTCACCCATCTTAACAGTAATTGCACAATGCATTTGCAGCTAAGGCCTCATTAAAACTTCATGCTCACCTGTTCTCAAGCAGCACTGAGGATGCATATGGGTTAGGGCAATGGCCAGGTGATTGCCTCCTGGGCTCGCCCAATTGTGAATTTCAGCTAGAGCCACAAAAGTCTGCGCCTTTGTGCCATGATTTATTATAGGGAGCTTGTATCCCAGGGGAGTTTAAGCAATTCAGAAGCAGCAGGAAGAGACAGGGAGACAGGTGAGCAAAGAATTGAGCGACTGTTGCAGGTATTGTGACACCTTGTTAATTATTAACTCTGGTAGCAGGCTGTCAAGTTAACTGGAAGGGGAGGGTGGACCTAATTAAGTATCTAAACAGCATTTCTAAGGAGTAGACACAGTCCAGAAATGGGTGCTTTCCCTGGAGTTGGGCGCAAGAAAAGCCACACACACCTTGAGTCCCAGGGAACCTGTATGTCATCCAGCAGCCCTTGTAGTCTGAAGTTAAGTTGTACAGACCTCGTGGTTGGACTTGGGGCATCTGCATCAAGCTGCCTCCATTAGAAAAGATGCTGTAGACTCGATGGCTGATTGCTAACTCAAGGAAAGATGAACCGTACCCAGAGGAGAAGGAAAAAGTAATTATTTGGACTACATTAGGGCAGTTGTTAGAAGGACCATTTTATTCAGGCATGGAGAGCACCCTGTGATCTGATCGCTTTTGTAAGGATTCCTATATAGAGCAACTCTCTTCTGCAGGAAATATTGATAGAGGATGTGTGATATAAGGTAGAGGGTCCGAAGTCATCAAGGGATAAATTCTAGAGGTTGGGAGAATAGAGAACACACTCCATCGGAGGAGGCAGAGAAGGAAGAGTTCCCATGGGGATGCTCAGAGAGACACGAAGCCCTGCTGACCAGGTCTGCTTCCGCTGCTGGGGTCCCTTCGTAACTCTTCCGCATTTAGGGAGTCACCTAACCTCACTTCACCCAGTCCACACTTGTAGGATAAGGGTGACGTCTATGTCACAGAGTTGTCCTGGAGAGTAAAGAAAAACATAAACTAATTTCACAGGACAACTCTTCAGAGCGGGAGCTTGATCAACAACAGTATCTTATCCAAACCTGCCTTAAGCCAGGTATGAACTAGCAAATAGGATTTCCCGAGGAGGAGTGCCATCAAGACGTCTGGAGACCACTTCCTACAGCAATTGGAACTTTATATTATCTAACACATTTGACCACGCACTAAGCTAGCTTTCTGCACTGACTCCAAGCTGGGCTGCCAGGCGTGCTCTTCACAGCTCGAATGGGCCCTGCACAGAGACTCTGATGCAAAGGGCATCTCCTAGACTTGTGCAGTGCACAGTCTGCACAACAGAACATCTGCTTGGGCTGCCCCTCGCAAACTGTTTGTAGATTTTTTTCTGTTTATGTAAGTGAACTGTACCTGTTATAG